AACATAATTGTTTTCTTACTGTTAAATATACTAATGTTAACATGTTAACTCTTTTTCATTCTTTGATAAAATACAATTCGAATTTCACATAGTTTTCATGTTTTTTGATAGTGATAAGAGACTTCACATGTTTTGTCGATGGATTTGTTATACTTCGCGAAAATCTTTAGTTGAAAAAGATCAAATGAATTGACATATGTATGCATGTATGTAACAGGGTTGTTGCGAATATTCGCATTCGCAACCGCGGAGCTTCCGCATTAATTTTAACATTCGAATTCGCTTTCGGATCTTTTGCGAATGCGAATATAGAAGGGACCGGAAATTACAGTTATTTTTTACGAGTTAAGCTGAAATTAGTCGAGAACGCAGAACGTGTACTTAAACGCAGTCTGTATACGCAGAATTTTGTCGATTACTGGAGCCCTCAGTGTTGCTTACTACACTGTTGCCACTCTTCAATGCCTTTTCATAAACTTACCCTTTCAACCACAATTTTTCGTGCTATAATAGATTGTAGCTAAATATAAACTACTTAGTTTTCAACAAAAACCTTATTTAATAGTAACTTTCAAATATTTTAAACATATTTTGAATAGGAACTTATAACTTTTTTACCATCTGCAAAACTGACGAAGTGGCAACCATCTAAAGAAGGAGAAATCAGCTGACACGGAAAAATCTAAATTCCGCAGATTTCTGCGCTACGGGCTACAACTACAGAAAAATTCTGCGGTGCTGAGTTTTCATTTACATGGCGCTTTGGTAAGACAGATCGTGTCAGCTGACTCGGGTTTACGTACCGGTAGGTTTACGTTCTTGACTAATTTCAGCTTTAAACTTGTTGTTCCGAAATAAAAGTCTTTTCCGGATAATTAACAAGCCGCTTATCCAAATTAAACAAGTTTGGTATCAAATGAAAGAGCACTTAAATAGCTTTAAAACTGAAATGTCTAAACGAGGAAAGCCACATATTGAAAAATATTTCAATACAAAATTTTAATTAATTACCATAGAAAAAAAAAATTGGGTCAGGTATGTATATGAATTTATTTTGTATTAATTTGTAAAAAACAAATATGAATAGCGGTGGTAACCTTCGTTCGTTATTTCTGTATAAAAGCTATCTCAGTCCTCTTTCATATCATACCAAATTTGTTTAATTTGGATAAGCAGTTTGTTTATTATCCGCAATAAAAAATATTAGGCAAGTTTAAAGGCTCAGTTATGCATACTTTGCATTGCATGACAGCTGTCACATAGGGAATATGTTAAATGAACTTTGCGTGTAAGCGGTTACCTAACTCACAGTGTTACATATGTAAAAGTCTGTTGATTTTTGATTTTTACGAGGATACATCCGACATTTGCAGCCCCAATGCAATGCAAAACGGAATTATTGCATCGCAATAAAAATAAATAAACATAACTGAAAGTCCTCTCAACTGGAGCAGCGTCAATCGAAAAAAATTTAAAGTTTTGGCAAGTTTCCATTCGGATTTTGGCGACGAGCGTGCGTGGGTCGTGCGCGTCTTTTTGTGAAATACATACCTGTGTTTAAGTACAGTGCGTTCAATTGTGGTGCAATTGTCTTTGGCTTTTTGTGTGCGCGTGTAAATTTTTGTTTAAATTAAAGCGTGTGTCTTTGTTAATAAATAATCTGGGGAAGCATAAGGATTAGGTGAGTAATCTTGGCAAAACTTTCTTAATGTTTTTGTGGTAGTGGTTTAATAGGCAAAATCTTAAGTTGCCTGTTTAAAAAAAAACGAAAAAAGTGCCGCTTAGGGCGCTAAAGAAAATGAGTAGGTTGGCGTCGCCGACTGCATGGTCGGTCAAAGAATCAGCAATGATGACGCTGGTTCGGATTTTTATGAGCTTTCTGCTAGTGGAGGGCTAGTGAAATTACAAGAAAAAGTAGAAAAACGTGTAGTGGAAAAATAACGGTAGAACAAAATAATGACATGGTTGTTGAAACCGATGCAGGGAACAGCAACGGGATCGAAAACGCAGGTGGCTGTGGTACAGTCAGACCAAATCAAGGTACAAGAGACGAAACTGACACAGTGTTATACCCTCAACACTTTAAGGGTGAAATCTTTGTGTTGGATGATGCGTCAGCCAACGCACAGATGACAAACGAAAGAGTTTCAACCAAGGAATGAAACCGATTCAAAATAACGTTCCGGTTTGGGTTTCGGTTTTGCCAAGTGTTTCGGTTTCGGTTTTGGTTTCGTTCTTCAAAATTTATTTCGGTTTTGGTTTCGGTTTCGGTTTTTCACAGAAATTTTGTTGATATTATTTAAATCACAATGTCTTAAACGTTGAGGAAAGAAAATCGAAAATTACAGTTCACTGATAATATCAACACTAGGTTCTTTCCCTGACAATCCGGACCGGATTTGGTAATTAGAGAATAAGAGAAACATTTTCTTTCAAAAATGGAACAAAGTTCAGAAGTACGAAAACGCAAACCTCCACATTTCGTGCCCACAAGTCGAGAAACAGCTGATTCACGTTGTTATTGTTTTTGTCACTTATACCATGTTCTGACCGACATCGGAAACATGTTTTCGTTGCTAAAACTTTTTTTTTCGATTATTTATCGAAGTGGAAGTCATATTTTATCATCTTTAATAGGCCATTTCGGATTTATTGTTAATTGCCTGGCCAAAGCAAAATAAGAATGAAAGTTAAAGGTTGTAAATGAAAAGAAAATGAAGGGAAAATGTTTTGATTGTCGGTCAGAACATGGTATTAAATGCAAACACATGGAAATTGAATTTTGGTTTCACAAATTTGATTTTAAGTACATAGGTTGAAAATACATCAACAGGCCATTCACTTTTCCTTAAAAGCAGGCAACATGTAAACACAATAAAGCTGATATGCACTTTGACACTTTATCCATTTTTACTCGGAGAAAATTTCGGGCTATTTCGGGCAGGAAGAAGAATACACTTACGATCGAATACGCTCGAATTTTCGCTCTCTATTACCCATTTTGTTGAGTACAAGCATGATTTCTGGGCTATTTTGGGCACACGCGGGATCTCGCATTGCGTACGGGAAAGAAACTACTTAAATATAATTAATCGATTATCGATTCACAACAACAAAGTCATCAGCAGATTTTTGCGAAAAGTTACCTTGCCATACTTATTTACTACTTAACAAGAATTTTAGCAAAATGTTGCTGATTTTGGTTAAATAAATCATTTATTTCAAAGAAATTTTTATTTATTATTTTTGTAAATTTCCTGAAACCTATTGAAACCTGTGATTGAAATGGTTTCGGTATCGTTCCTTTTCAGGTCAAGATAACGGTTACGGTTTTGGTTTCGGTTTTGAAAAACGAAACGTTTTTAAACGGTTACGGTTTCGGTTTGGGTTTCGGTTTCATTCCTTGGTTTCAACTGGTCTGACTTTATTCAGCCAAATTAAAGATTTGAGAATCAAAGACATGGACCTTATTACTGCCATTGGCAAAACCTTATACAAAGTTACCTTTAAAAATACCTTTGCGGCCAACAATTTTATAAATGATAAAAAAATTATCCAAAGAGGCTTAAGACCGTTTATACCCCGAACGGCCTTAGAAATTTATGGAGTTGTAAGGGGCATACCCACGTGCTTTGAGGAAAATGACATAAAAAAGGAGACTAGGTCCACCATTCCGATATGTTCTGTCAGACGCTTCAATAGGAAAGATCCCATAAGTAATTCATATGGTGCCGACAACTACGGTCAAAATTGGTTTCACTGGTGATGACATTCCCAAATTTATAATTTACAATTATACAAAGCTCTCTGTTGACTTTTATATTCCCCCCTTGAGACAATGCGACAATTGTGGCCGTCTTATTCATACCACATTGTCATGCAAAGGTAAAAAGAGGTGTGTTATGTGCGGTAAAGGTGAATGTCAAGACCCTTCATGTAGTGCAAATGTCTGCATTTTGTGCCCACATTGGGAATAGGAACAGATAGTCAATCGCATCAGGACAGTCAAGAAGTTATCTAGGAAGGAAGTATTGGACCAATAGTATCCCAGAAACAATAGGTTCAGCATGTTAGAATGCGATGATGGGACTTTTCCTGTGTTGCCGACGCAAGATACTGAGGTTGTGGATAGGGAAAACAATATAAATAGGAATTTTACTAGAAGAACATACAGCCAAACTGCTAAAAGAGGTGCTACAATGTCAGCTCCTATACCGGTAAGAGAGCCATTTAGACGGACGACGATTAAAGCCCCTGGGAACCCGGTTTACAACTCACCTAAGTACCAAAAAGGTCTCGTCTCACAGTTTGAACGTCTCATAACTGAGATGATAAACATAACACAACGAATTTCTATTCAGAGTGACAACGCTGAACTTTGTGAAGGCATACAATGCCTTAAAAATCAATTTGAAACAATTATTGCCAAAAGAGATGAGACTGTGGTCACGGGATCACTAAATCCGTTCATACATGATGAAGCTATTACAATATAATTGCCAATCACTGCGTGCTAACTTGGATTCTATAGAATTCTACTTGCACAAATATGCAATCGAAATTGCTTGCCTTAGCGAGATTTTTCTATCTAGTCGTACTCCACGCAGGAAACTGATTTAGGCTGGTTAAAAAATATCGCCATTGCCATCAAAAAAGACATTTCATTTAAAAGAATCACCTTTCACTCTGACTATGACATTATTCTGATTGAGACCAAAAATCTCAACCCTAATATCGTTTGTAGCGCATACTTTCCACCCAACCTCAGTATTAGGGATTTCAACAATGAAATGGATAAGGATATTGTTTCTTGAACCTTTCAATAATGTTTGTTTGATGGGCTCCAATCGCGGCAAACATTTCAACATTCAACAATCCTTTTTTCATAGTCTTAATGATGGCAGCCTTACCTATAAAAGGGACATAAGATCGACAGGTGGCTCTGTGCTCGATTTGACTTTCACTAACAGCACTATGCGGTGCAAATGGT